AAAAAAAAAAAAAAAAAAAAAAAAAAAAAAAAAAAAAAAAAAAAAAAAAACCAAAAAAAAAAAAAAAAAAACAAATTTAAAATATTCCCAAAATTTGCACATTACAGCTGCAATATTAGTATTCATCAGTGCACAATTTAACATTTTAACATTAAAAATTTATTTTAGAATGTATTTTCATAATACCTTTTTGTGAAATAGTGACAGGAACAACTTCCTTTATCAGTTCTCCTGATTCCCAGGCTGTCTTGCTCCTAGTATAAGAATTTATAGCATAAGTGTCTTGCTCCTCTCGTGAAACAGTAAGCTTCTTAGCAGTATTTTCAGCACAATTACCCTAGGGAAAAACAAAGACCATTCTGAGAGCATGAACCAGAAATGTAGATGGGAAGATTAACTTCAATTTTTTGAAATGGATATGACATTGAAGTGAACTTTTAAGTGTTAGTTGCCAGAAGGTTCTATTGTGACAACTGCTACAGGAATCTGAACTTCACAACAGAAGTTAGTGGGCAATTTTCTGGACAGATGTAATTTAAGCCAGAAAGCCATGTTTGTAATGATATATGCAGTGTAGCTGTAGCCATGTCAGTTCCAGTATATTAGACAGACAAGGTGAATATCTTTTATTGGACCAACTTCTCTGTTGGTGAGAGGAAAAAAAGCTTTTGAGCCACAGCAAAAGCTGTGTCGCTCGAAACCTTGTCTCTCTCACCAACAGAAGTTGGTCCAATAAAGGCTATTGCCTCACCCACCTTGTCTCTCTAATGTTCCTAATGAGGCCTTTCTAATTTTAAAAAAAATCTGTGAGAATTTAATGCTTTTGAAATGGCTTGGATCGATAATCTGAAGCCCTGTTTAGCCACATAACAGTACATCCAAACTGTTCTCACCAATGCACATCATTCCTATACTGGTGAGACTGCCTTCTAGGCTTGAAAGGGTACTTCAATCTCCAGATCTTATTCAGTCCTTGGATTCTCAGCAGAGAATGACAAATTGGCAAGTAGTGCCAATTTTTCATCCAACAACTGAACTGAGACCACCTAACTTTTTGTACAGGTTACTGAACAGCGTGATAATTTCTCTCTTTTTTTTTAATTGTATACACAACTATCCTCTGCGACCGCCTAACTCATTTCACACAGATTACTGAACAGCCATAGAATCAACCATTAGAAATCTCGTTCACTACAAACACGGGCTATACGTACGCTGGTGACAGAGGTGAAGGGTAATGTATCCCATTACCAATTCCCTGAGATACACCAAGTCCACCTGAGAAAGTTACTCTGAAGATGAGGGAGCTAGACCCCTCCTCCTTGATCACTAGGCTAACTTCTTAAGAATCCACATGCATATTTGGTTAAACTTATGCGGTTTCTATAGCAAATTCTACATATAAAACATTGTGTAGAGATCAGTCTGCATTAGTTTGATTGTAGCATTCCTCTGATTCCTCACACAAGTGAGTTAATTTCTATACCTCTATCTAGCCAAATAGAGGGTGATGGGGACGACTCCTCCTCTGCAGTTCTGGCTAGGTGGGGAGGCTCTGCTCCATCGGGACTACAGCCACGCCTCCCCTCCCACAGCTTCCCCTCCCCGCGATAACTGCATCTGCAGGGATTGCATGTCACTGGCCTTGGGGCAGCACAGGAAGCCATCTGCTGTCATGGCCCTACTCACTCACTTCCATGGCATCGGACCTGCAGAGGGCTCTCTGTATTGGGCAGGAGCTATTCAGCAGCAGAGTGGTCTCCCCTGCAGCCAGGGAATCTTTATCCTCCTCTTCCTCACAGTCCTAACCAGTAGTCTTAGCTCGATTATCCAAAACCCTGCATTGGCTGAATCTCTTCCTTGTCCCCCAGCATAACATATATGCCCTTTGCAGCAGGTCTCTCATGCTAGGGAACAAGGAAGGGTTTCAGATAGGTATGGATAACAAAGGTGAAGTCTGTATCAGTGAAGAGAGGGTAGGCCCACTGCTCAGCGAGGAGGGAGAAACAGTAACAGGAAACTTGGAAATGGCAGAGGTGCTTAATGACTTCTTTGTTTCGATCGTCACCGAGAAGTCTGAAGGAATGCCTAACATAGTGAATGCTAATGGGAAGGGGGTAGGTTTAGAAGATAAAATAAAAAAACAAGTTAAAAATCACTTAGAAAAGTTAGATGCCTGCAAGTCACCAGGGCCTGATGAAATGCATCCTAGAATACTCAAGGAGCTAATAGAGGAGGTATCTGAGCCTCTAGCTATTATCTTTGGAAAATCTTGGGAGACAGGAGAGATTCCAGAAGACTGGAAAAGGGCAAATATAGTGCCCATCTATAAAAAGGGAAATAAAAACAACCCAGAAAACTACAGACCAGTTAGTTTAACTTCTGTGCCAGGGAAGATAGTGGAACAAGTAATTAAGGAAATCATCTGCAAACACTTGGAAGGTAGTAACGTGATAGGGAATAGCCAGCATGGATTTGTAAAGAACAAATCATGTCAAACCAATCTGATAGCTTTCTTTGATAGGATAACAAGTCTTGTGGATAAGGGAGAAGCAGTGGATGTGGTATACCTAGACTTTAGGAAGGCATTTGATACGGTCTCGCATGATATTCTTATCAACAAACCAAATATTATTTTTGGATGTATTAACATGTGTGTTGTGAGCAAGACACGAGAAGTCATTCTTCCGCTCTACTCTGCACTGCTTAGGCCTCAGCTGGAGTATTGTGTCCAGTTCTGGGCACCGCATTTCAAGAAAGATGTGGAGAAATTGGAGAGAGTCCAGAGAAGGTCTAGAGCCGTTGTTGGCAACCTACGGCACATGTGCCAAACATGGCACGCGAGCCGATTTTGAGTGGCACGCTGCCTGCCCGGTGAGAGGAGGCGGAGGGGCCGGAAAGCGCCATGCTGGGGGAAGAAGCGGGGAAGGAGGGAAGCTTGGCTGCCGCAGGACCAAAGCTTCTGCCTCTTGCCCTGGCAAGGGAGAGTGGGGGGCGGGGGTCCCGGCCCCCCGCCCCACTCTCTCCCCTGCCGGGGCCGGAGGCAGAAGCTTGGTCCTGCAGTAGCCAAGCTTCCCCACTCCCCCGCTTCTTCCCACAGCGTGGTGCATTCTGGCCCCTCCTCCTCCCTGCCAGCAACGGCCCTTGCGAGGGGGAGGGGAGCGGAGTGGAGCCGAGCGGCAGCGTGTTCGCTGCTCCGTAGAGGAGGCAGAGAGAGGTAGGGACGGGCCTTGGGGAAGGGGGTGGAACAGGGCATACCCCTCCCAGCCCCCTGCCATGAGCAGCTCATGGCAGGGGGCTGGGAGCACCCCCACGAGCCAAGCACCCCAGCCCTCTGCCCTGACCTCCCCCCAACATCCAGCCTTCTGCCCTGAACCTCCTCACCCCAGCCCTGACCCCCCATCTCCCCAACACCCAGCCTTCTGCCCTGCACCTCCACACACGCCCAGCCCTCTGCCCTGACCTGCCCCCCAACACCCAGCCTTCTGCCCTGCACCTCCACACACACACCCCCGACTTATAGAGAGACCTTCTAAAAAACATTAACATGTATTACCGGTACACAAAACCTTAAATTAAAGTGAATAAATGAAGACTCGGCACACCACTTCTGAAAGGTTGCCTACCCCTGGTCTAGAGAACATGACCTATGAAGGAAGGCTGAAAGAATTGGGTTTGTTTAGTTTGGAAAAAAGAGAAGACTGAGACGGGACATGATAGCAGTTTTCAGGTATTTAAAAGGGTGTCATAAGGAGGTGGGAGAAAACTTGTTCACCTTAGCCTCTAAGGATAGAACAAGAAGCAATGGGCTTAAACTGCAGCAAGGGAGGTTTAGGTTGGACATTAGGAAAAAGTTCCTAACTGTCAGGGTGGTTAAACACTGGAATAAATTGCCTAGGGAGGTTGTGGAATCTCCATCTCTAGAGATATTTAAGAGTAGGTTAGATAAATGTCTATCAGGGATGGTCTAGACAGTATTTGGTCCTGCCATGCAGGCAAGGGACTGGACTCGATGAGCTCTCGCGGTCCCTTCCAGTCCTAGAATCTATGAATAATCTATAGGCTAGGCAAAGATTGTAAAAGATTATTTGTGCAACTGCTACTATTTAGGAAGCAAGTAGTAGCAACTCATCCAATAAAGACTGTGAATAACTAAGACAAAGGGTAGGAAAATTCCTTCAGTGGGGAGAACAATCATTAATTCCTCAGAATGCCCACCAGCCTCACTTCAATCTTATCTGGATTCATCTTAAACCAGTGAGCTATTGTCAGGATGCTAACTGACATGGAACCAGGAGAATCAAATATTCTGAGGTGGTATCAGGTGAGAGAGCATACCGATAGTCTCAAATCTCATTCTCCTCTAGGAACCGCATTTTACACACACGCACACACACACAAAGGGAGGCTGAGCAGCTTTATTGGTCCCCCCGGGAAGGAAGGAATAGTGAGCTATTAGTAATCAACTGTGCATTCTACAGCATACACCCGGGTCTTGAGTCGCCGTCTACCACTGTCCTGGACTCCTGAGAAAGGCCTCAAACACAGCGACACAAAACCACTGCTTGGCCTGCTCCTGAATTTTCTGCCTAGCCTCTCCACACCACTCACAGTAAGAATCCTGAAAATGGAAGAACCCTTTCCTCAGAAGCAGTTCTGTCCCTCATTTCCCGGGCATGCCAGAACCAACATTTAAACAGTTAGTAATAAACTCTTGAGTTCGGTAGTAGGCTCATGATAGGCAAAAAAATGAAGTTGCTGTATGTTTCAGTACTGAACAGCAATAATTACCATGTGGATTTTGTTGTAAACATCAGTCAAGCCATCTTTTACAATCAAATCTTCCAGCTTTACTCCTCCGTAAGGTGTTGCCCCTCTGTTCATTGTATAGGGAACATTAGACATGCTCTCCATCCCGCCAGCCACCATCACATCCTTCTCAAACAAAACAAGCATATGTTAAAGTAAATTACAATAAAAGCCATTTTATATAAAATTTCTTCCCACATAACAAAAGATTAGAGAACACGTTACAGATGTTTCTTACAAAATTGCTTCTATTTTTTGTGTGACTAAAACAGGAAAAAAATGAAAACAGTTAATTGGTGTTGGCACAGGACGTGAACATGACTAATGTTCTGTGTCTGAGCTGTAATTTCAAAAGATCTGAGAAGCAAAAAGTCTCGAAGATTAGTTACAGTAAAGTTACAACATGGAGTGTTTGAGGGAAAAAAAGATCTGACAAATTTCTTAGTCTGTATTTCTTTTTAATCGTTCATTCGCTGTACTGGTGCTCTGGCCACCTCACATCAATTAGTATTTTCTTTCTCCTATACCTCAATTGTTGAAATGTAAGTGCCGCCAAGATTAAAGTAGAATTTTCTGTTTAAAAAGTCTTAGTTTGGCATATTTGTTCCATTTCAGTTCTCCATTAGTAACATGTTATATCTACAGGACAAACAGCTGTTTCAGAATTTAAGACACCAGCAAAGAAGAGAGATCTGTTCACATGAAGTACTAGCTGCTCTATACAATGTTGTGTTGTCTCACAGCGTGGAAAGATCTGACCCAACTTCATAACACAGTTTACCATGTTGTCTGTTAATAAGCCGGCAACAAACAGGAGACTTTAAACAGTTTTCTCATTGAGCCCAAAATTCAATTTAATTAATATGTACATTCATTAATATTTCTACATTGTTTTCAAGAAGTAGTTCCTGCAGTTTTATCACCCTTTGTAAGATATGGTTGACCATTCACTGGGGCTTCACACATGAAGTTTCTAGATTCTCAGCATGAAGAATACATGTAACCATTTTTAATGCAGTGTATTACATATGGGTAGGGATAAGAAAAATTGCAAGTTTAATGTTTTTCTGTAGTCTATAGAAAAGTTCAGTAAATCACTTTTATATTGCATCCTCACAAAGGATACTTTACAAGGATTCAGTCATGGGATAAGAAAGGAAGGTTTTTTTATGGTAAGATTTAAAGTAATGATGCTTTGTTCAATATTAGGTATATACTGGATCCAATAAATGCAACTGAGAGTCATGAAGATGAGACGGACAGTAGAGAGAACTCCAAGGCAATTATGACTAGAAATCAGAAATAGGAATCCAGAGAAGGGAACAGAAGATTTCTTAAAGTGTTCTTTTTTTAGCTTTGTTATTCTGATCCTATATAATTTTATGTCTCCAGCCCTTCCAGTTTAAAAAAAAAAAAAAAAAAAAATAACTAATCAATCCAGTAAAGGCTCCAAAACAGCGCTAATCACATATCCATTGAAGTCAATGGGAGTTTTGTCATTGACTGTAATGGGATCAGAATTACTGAGTGTGCAGCTGGGGAAAAAAAATCTCTAATAATATAGTTTTTAAGACCTACTTACAGTCAATTAGGGCTGAATCCAACAAAGTGGGTAGAGAGACAGTGACAGACTGTGTGGGAATCAGGCATGCATAATCACCTCAGGTCAAATCTCTAAAATATGAGAGCCCCTACAAAGTGTGTGGCCTGCATCCATCAAATGTAAACCTAAGGTATGAATATTCATTAAATATGAATTACTAATCCCAGCAGTAGCTGTTGAAATAGAAGTACGGGACCTGTTCTTGATCCCACTGAAGTCAGTGGCAAGAATACCATTTAGAGCCTGATCAAAGACCAGTACAGTCAGGGGCAAAAGATTCCCCTTGACTTCAGGCTCTAGACCAAGCCCTTAATACTGGGTCAGATTGGGTTTGGTGTGAATTAAGCAGCGGTTCTAAATCACTGATATCAGTAACTCTATCCTAGGGAGGAGAGAGAGCGTGTATGTATTTTAAGAAATAAAAGAGAATACTTATGTCAGCAGGTAGGTTTTCCAAAGATGTACCATAATTGGCAGATAAGATTTTTTTTCTCCTAATCTAGGCCTGGTCTAGATTAAAAGGTTACATCAGCATACCTATGTCAGTTGGGGATAAAAAAATAAAATCACACCCCCACTGATGTAGCCATACTAACAAAACCCCGAGATACAGCTATGTTGACAGAAGAGGGTTTCAGACAACACAGCTAACTTTGTTTGGGGAGGTGGTGTTCCTACAACAACAGGAAAAACTCCTTTGTCAGCATATATTGACTATTAAAAGGCTATGCTGGAATAGTCTCTAGTTCTGACTACCAGTAGGTCTACACAAGAGGCACGAGTCAAAGCAACCTGGTTAAGATCTAGGTATTTTGCTTCTCTATCCTCTCTTCCCCTTAAAAGGAAAAACTTATAATACTGACCACAACTACTTCCACTATTGACTGTGTCCTAAGATATATGTGAGACATTTCTAAATACACAGTTAACAAATTTGTTTATCAAAACAAACATTTAAATATCTACAAAATTAGGATTTATGTAAAATATATATATAAATTCTAGTTAAGCAATATTAGCACAAAACCAAAGTGTAGTATATTATAATGGGCAGGAAACCACCACATTAGTCTCGTATTTCTCAGAAATCAGAATTTCCACATTTTGGCAATCAGATATCATGTTTGAAGTTATCAGGCACTAAAATTCACATACCTGATTTCCACACATCAGATTCTGTGCTGCCATCATGACAGACTTCATTCCAGAAGCACAAACTTTATTGATAGTTGTAGCAGGAGTAGAGATTGGTAAACCTGAGACAAGTAAATATATTAATCAATTAAGACAACCACATTATTCTATTTATAATTTAATTACATCATCCTTTTTTAGCATTTAACAACTATTAGCTGCTAAACTTGTTGCACTGCCCCTCATTACAAAAAACTGCCTTTCACCATCTATAATATTTCATATGGGGCTAATTTTCATCTAAAGTAAAATAGTTATCATCCGTGCCTACAGTTCTATAGCAGCTCTATGTAGTATAAATTCGCTAGATCTTTAAACCCAGAAACAAAAACAGTATGTTAATACCTGCACCCAGTAGTGCTTGTCTTGCTGGAGCTTGTCCTTGTCCAGCCTGCAGGACATTACCCATATACACTTCCTTCACTTCTTCTGCAGGAATACCTATAAAATAAACCAAGAGGCTTTTTCTAAGGGAGAGAAGCCATACACTAGTATTTTTATCTTTTAGATAAAGTTTTCAATCTAACACTGGCAATAAAGTGCACTGATTTTACTCCAGTGCGGCTAAAATACAGCACACAGACCTACATCAAGAGCCTCCTGGGTTTCCACACTTACGGTTCATGAAAAAATGCTGAAGACTGCTCTAGAGACCAAAGTCCTCTAGGCATCCACAGAACAAAAACAGCACAAGCACCAGGAATGCTGCCTTCAACAAACTCCTGGGCAGTGTGTTTCAACACATTAGAGCAATTCCATTTCCATGTCTTTAGTGCATCCACTCTAACTCCAATGCAGACTATAAATCAGTGTCTAATGTGGTGATAGGTTTTGGGAGGTGGAAACCTATCCAGTAGGAACCAGATTAACATTTTATTTCACATAGGCCACTGATTAACATTCTAATCTATTCTTAAAAGCAACACTGAAACAAAAGCACTCAAATCAGGCATTAACTGCTTTACACATTTCATGCTTAGATTTTGTTTTTATTTTTTAATAGTATCAACGGATAAAAGTTTAAGATCTAAGATTAAAAATTCACCCACGCACATGCACACTTATTTTTTAACATAATTTTTTTTCAAAACAAGATACAAATTGATACGGTTCACTGGAGCAATGTGTAACTTTGTTTTGTGAACAAATATTTACACATACCTGCTCTTTCAATTGCTCCTTTAATTGCAATGGAACCAAGTTCAGTGGCTCGCAACGATGAAAGGGATCCCTGGAAAGATCCAATGGGAGTCCGTGCTGCACTTGCTATGACCACTTCCTAGTAGAACAGAATATGTGGTAAGAGTTACAGTATTTAAAAACATAAAATTTCTTTTAACTTGTTCACACTTTATTTTGTCTTCTCTTTTAAACAGTGACTCATATTTGTACAGTATACAATTGTACAACACAACGGGGGAGCCAAACGGGTCATGGACTTTAGGTGCCACTGCAGTGCAAACATTTTAATAATTATTATGTTATAGTAATTGAGACACCTGCCCAAGAAACAAGACATTGGCTAAATTATCCTGACATTCTTAGGCTACGTCCTCACTACGGGGGGGCGGGGGGGGGTGTCGATTTAAGATGTGCTATTCGCGTAGCTGAATTCGACGTATCGGAGCCGACTTACCCCGCTGTGAGGACGGCGGCAAATCGACCTCCGCGGCTCCCCCGTTGACGGCGCTTACTCCTACCTCCGCTGGTGGAGTACAAGCGTCGATTCGGGGATCGAATGTCGCGTCCCGACGAGACGCGATAATTCGATCCCCGAGAGATCGATTTCTACCCGCCGATTCAGGCGGGTAGTGTAGACGTAGCCTTAGTCATGTTATATCAGAGATCTTCTTGTGGGGCTAACCATAAACAAACTTTTGAATGAAACAAGGTATGACTTTCAACTCCTTATCTAGGAGTTCACTGCAGCTGACTTCTTCGAATTACAACATAATATGGGGTTATTTTAAGTATGATGATGATTTGTATTGCTTTTACCCCTATTTTTACTCAGCCCCCCTCGCATCAACAAGTCTGCCTGCTAAGCTAGCCTATCAATCTGATGGCCGTATGATGTGCGGACATTGAAGGGACTAAAGTCTGGGTCCCCCACTTGGGGCCTGTTCCTGAATGCTTCCTCGGTGGTGTGATGAGCACCTTCAACCCCCATGTTTCAGCGGGAGTCAAAGACACTCAGCACCGTGCAGTGTCACGCCCTTGGTCCTTTATTCACTGAGGTAGGCAGGATTTTGGATGGAATACCTTGTGTCACTTGATTTACTCTCCTCCCACTCCACAAGTAACCAGTAATAGGATTAACAAACTCAAGAGGCAGACACATTCAGCTGCCCTCAGTTACAGACCAGGTCAGACACAGGTCAATGCAGAGTGAAATTTTCAAAATGAGAGAGATAGCATTGACCTTCTCACTGTAAGTTTAACAGAAGCATGATGTCCTGCCTTCCCAACACCTTTGCGCCACAGACCACTTTAAAGTTATCTGACATTTTGATACAGACAGATCTTAGAAAAATCTAAACACTGTTCTGATACTAGGTGAGAGACAGGTAATAAGTATTCTTATTCAAACTTATCACATATAATTGTCATCAGATTACAAGAGGGTGGGGAAGGGAAGAGTTTCAATGCTTTTTTTAAGTAATCTCTCTCAAGTAGAAGTCCTTGCAATCCAGTGGTTAAAAAGCAGGACACTGGGAGTCAGGAGACCGTAGGTTTTATTCCCAGCTTTGCTAATGACAAGCTGTGCAACTTTGGCCAAGTTGCACATTCTCTACATTGAAAGTGTGTTGCGCTCAAGTTTTTAAAGATCAGACTCTAAAAGCAGGCTAGTAGCGATGGTTTATCATAACCAATGCTTGTAGCCATATGCTTCTTAATACTTACATTTAAAGTACGCTGTGATGCATAACCCCGGTTTGTGTATTTCAAAACCTGAAAATAAGAAAATTATTTTCAGAATTTTACTTTGCAAATTTTGGTGACCTGATGTTTCAGTTCAGTAACAGATATACTGTGAAAATTGGGCTCTTCTTACAAGTGATTGGGAAACACCAAGAATTATTGCATTTTTCAAGTTAAGAAACATTGGAAAAAATAAAAAACTAATACGTCACAAAATGGACTTTGTTCATTTATTTGACGAACACGGTGTAGACGTTCTGTAGTATATTTTCTAAAAGTAATAATGTCTCAAATATGTGAGCTGAGATCTCACTACATTATCTGTGATTAAATCTTTCCTGAGAAATTAGTATCTTTTTTTAAATGCAATTTGTGGAAAGTATGGATTAAAAAAGTTCTGTCAGTTTTAATCATGTAACAGCTATTTCTCAGATATAGGCGCTCCAGCATGTCTCCTCATCATTACATACAATGAACAGGTAGGGAATGCTGCTACATTACAAGTTTTGATTATTCAACCCCATTGTTCCTTTAGTCCTTTCACTGCTATCACTAAGTTTAGGATTACAAAGGTAGCTAATTTCTAGAGCTCAATTTCACTGGCATTTGTGATTTGTAATATGGGTGGTGAACACAGGATTCAACATCAAAAGATGACTACAGAAAAACAAATCCAGCAAAAATCTGTACAGCAAACCAATTCACAGGCTGTTAACTTCATCCTATTACTAGGTGTACTCACAGTGGGATGAAAATTCATTATAATTTAAAAAAAATTTTTTTGAAAAAGATACATTATCTTAAGATATCATTATCCACAGCTGCCTCCGCCTGTCCTTGTGCAGCAGTTTAAAGTAATTTAAAAAGTAAAACTATTTCACTAGACAGTGTATAGATAGTTCATAGATAGTGAATCCTAGTCACTAGCATTTTACTGAAAGAATATACTCAGGTAAGTGAATTAAAATTAATAGTCACTTGAGGATTTTGAAGGAACACCATAAATTATAATCTAGTCATTTTAAGAAAAGTTAAAAAGTACTTTCAGGTACTATGCTCACCTTGAGTCCCCATGCCAGTTAGGATGATTTTTAAAATTTTAGCTTCACAGCAGGAAAAACAAATTCACAAGCAAGAAAAAGGAAACTGCCTATATAATTTTATGCATTTAACAACATTATGTCCTCTAGTCTTTCAGTTATAGTCAACTTGGGTGATTATCTGTAACAATTTTAGGTGTAAATTTTCTGACAAATGGGTAAACTTTAAAGTTGACTGCATCCCTTTAAGGTTTTATTTGAACATCCCAGAGAGTAGTTTATTCTTAGAATGACCTGACAACTAACAAGGGTAACAGCCTTTTATCTTAGACTATCTACAGTTCAGGTTATTCAGTCAATTGTACAAATAAGCGAAAAACCCAGTAAACATAGCTGATTGCAGCTAGCATTGCCTGTGCTGCATACCTATATGTACAGACAACAGATTTTTTTTAGCTTTGGTAGCTGATAAGATCTCAACTTTGGTTCTGTGGACATACCTGATCCTAGCATAAACCAAGGATGTCTGGATGCTTCACCTGCCTCATCCCCTTTTCCAATGCAGAGGCTCGCAACACTTTGCTGCACCAGTGGCTGGGTTTTTAATGTTCATTTGGCTCAAAGAAGCATACACGCAACATCACAGCCCCTCGCGCAATGGGGGGCTGAAGACCAAAGTGGCTGGCCTCTGCTGATCAGTACCAGGTTTACAATGGTGCCAATGGCACCGTGACACCAGGCCCACACTGGGAAGGGGCCCCATTACGGACTCCTTTAATCCATTCACACAGCTGGGTCTGGCCCCTCGCCCAGGGCAGTCCAGCACCCAGGTCTTGCTGTATGAGCAGCTCTCAGCCAGCAGGTTCCACTCGCCTATAGGGGGCTCATCACCCAGCAGTTGGGGTCCACCATGCAGGCTGGGCAGGACTACTGTCCACGGGGCCAGTGGGTGTGTCTGGGCCCGGTGGGATCTCAGGAGTCACATCCCAGGGGATCTGCCCCGCTCCCCAGCACTGCTTCAGCTCTTAGCTGTCTCTGCTGCCTAGGACCTGTGGGGCCCCACCTGCCTCCCCAGGTGCAGAGCCACCTGGGACTGGTGCACAGGCTGGACCAGTCTCAGCCAGTCACAGGGGACAGTGGGGGGCAGCTCAACTGGGTTGTGCCAGACATGTGGGTCCTGAGGGAGCCTGACCCGGGCAGGCCCTGCGCCTGCTTGGCTGATTACACCACTCCCAAGGGTCTGAAGTTATCCTGCCCCAGGACCAGCCCTGGCTGCGCTGACGGCTCAGCCTGGCAGACACAGTCACCTTCCATCAAGGCCAGCAATTGTGGCCAGGGGTCAGGTCCTGGGAGAGTAGGTCTCTAAGGAGGTCAGGGGGAGGGGAGGTGTGGTGCTAGGCAGTGGGGGGGGGTGCTCAGCAGTAGGGAAGATTTGTGTTTTGGGGTGCTGGGGAATCGGGGGGCACTGGGGGGATGGGAAGATCTGTGTGTTTGGGGGGCTGTGCAGTGGGGGAACTCGTGTGTGTGTGTCAGACCACTGGGAAGTGGGGGGGGGTCTGCGGGGCACTGTGTAGTTGTGGTGGGGCTGTGGGGGTCACTGGGCAATGAGGGGATGGGGGGGCCTCTAGACAGGAAGGTGCAGGGTCTGTGCAGTTGTGGGAGTGTTCAGCTAGGGGGCATTGGGCAGTGAGAGGATCAGGGGGGGTTTCTAGGTGTGTGTGTGTGTGCTAGGCATAGTGGTCTGTGGGAGAGCACTGGATAGATATTTGGTGGGGGGGGGGGTCTCTTGGGCAGTGTGACACTGGTCATAGGGGTTCAGAGGGGTGTTGGGCAGCAGTGCAGTGTGGGCCCGCCCCCCAGGGGAAGAAGCACGATGGCAGTGCAGGGCCGGGTGGGTCAGTGTGCATCTGGCAGCTGCCGGTTTGTAAACAGTGCCCTTGTACTGGGCCCGGTGGAGCAGGGTTGTCCCTGCTGTGGCATGCCCCGTCTCCCATTGCCCCCAGCCAGCCCCTTACCCCCGTCCCCATGGGGCCCCACAAAAGGTTAATCCGGCCCTGCTGCTGATACTTCAGACTTTTGCCATGGGCGCTTTAGGCTCCCAACTCCCTCGACCCAAGGAGCAGACTCTGTGTTGGCGTGGCAGCCCGCCCCGATCCCCCCCAGCCTTGCCCTCTCTAGGGCAGCCACGCCCCCGCCCCGCCCGGGTGCGGGTGGCGGCCTTGGGGACCGGACCGCAGCGCGGGGATGTGGGGGTGCGGGGCAGGGCTGCTGGGGGGAAGGAGGGTAGAGGAGTAGCGCCCCCACCCCACCGGGCAGCACGAGGATGGCCTTGGGGGTTCAGGCTCCTGGCTGGGCCTCGGGCCACAGCCGCCGCCGCCTGCCCTTGAGCAGGTCACCCGGGGCCGAGCTCCCCAGCGCCCGGCAGGCGCCCCACACTGGAGCCCCGGCGGGCGGGCTGATCAGGCCGGGGTGGATTTGGGGCCCCGTGCACCCCGTGACGCGGCGGGGGCGGGGCGGCGACAGGCCCCATTTCCGCGCCGGGGGCTTCGTGTTTCCCACCGACCCCTGCGCGCTCACCTGCAGCAGCCTCGCGACCTCCCGGCCGCCCAGCATCGCCGCCGCCATCGCTGCCCGAGTGTCACTGGCAGAAGCCCCAGGCCCGCGCCTCACCTTCAGCGCGGCCACCGCCCCCGCCCTCAGCCAACGGGAGCCGCTGCTCCGCCCCCGCCCTCCCCTATTGGCTCGTGGCAGGAAGGGGCTGATGCCATTGGAGGGGAAGGCGGGGCTTGTGAGCGCCCCTGAGGGCTGAAGGGGAGCGGGGGGGCGGGGCTGCTGCCTGCAGGGGGCGGGAATGGGCCACTAGAGTGACCAGATGTCCCGATTTTATAGGGACAGTTGTGATTTTTTGGGTCTTTTTCTTATGTAGGTTCCTATTACCCCCACCCCCAGCCCGATTTTTCACAGTTGCTGTCTGGTCACCCTGCCACTGGGTGCCATGGGCCTCCCCCCGCAGGCTCCTCTCTGCGCTTCCCACTTTCTAACTGAACAAAACCGAGCACCGTAGCCCCCTCCCTCCATTGCTTACTCTCCCCCACCCTCACTCACTCTCACTGGGGTGAGGGCTCCAGCTGGGGGTGTGGGCTCCGGGGTGGAGCTAGGGATGAGGGATTTGGGGTGCAGGAGGGGGTTCCGACCTGGGCCAAGGGGTTTGAAATGTAGGAGCAGGCTCAGGGCTATGGCAGAGGGGTGGGGTGCAGAGGAGGTTCGGGGTGCAGGCTCCGAGAGGGAGTGTGGGTGTGGGAGGGAGCAGGGGGTTGGGATGCGGGCTCTGGGAGGGAGTTTGGGTGTGGGAGTGCGCTGGGGCAGGGGCAGGGGATTGGGATGCGGGCTCTGGGAGGGAGTTTGGGTGTGGGAGTGCGCTGGGGCAAGGGGTTGGGATGCGGGCTCTTGGAGGGAGTTTGGGTGTGGGAGTGCGCAGGGGCAGGGGCAGGGGGTTGGGAGGCGGGCTCTGGGAGGGAGTTTGGGTGTGGGAGTGCGCTGGGGCAGGGGCAGGGGGTTGGGATGCGGGCTCTGGGAGGGAGTTCGGAGCTGGGCCGGGGGTTTGCAGTGCAGGCTCCAGCTGGGCAGCGCTTACCTCAGGCAGCTCCCGGTTGATGGCGCAGCAGGGCTAAGGCAGGCTCCCTGCCTGCCCTAGCTCCTCCCAGAAGTGGCTGGCACGTCCAGCCTCTAGGCAGAGGCATGGCAGGCAGCTCTGCACAGTGCAGGCTACCTGCACCAGCAGCACCGCACCCGCAGCTCCCATTGGCCAGGGATCCCATCCAATGGGAGCTGCAGAGCCGGCACTCAAGGCAGGGCATGCCGGGAGCTTCCAGGAGCTGCACGGAGCCAAGGCAGGAAGGAAACCTGCCTTTCCCCCCAGGGTGTTCCAATCAAAAACTGGATGCCTGGCAAGCCTAATTAATACCCATGGTAATGCAGCAATGAGCCTGTTACCCCTATACTCCCCACACGCATTGTGTCAAATCCTTCCCTCCCAGCTCCTCCTCTCAGCACCTGTTTGCCCCACACAGGACGTGCCTACGCTAGAGAAAGGCACAGTGCTGTAGCCACAGCCCCGCAGAAGCCAGAAGCACAGGCATTGGGAAAGGCAGGCCTGCGCTTAGCCACGCTTTGGTCATGGCCCATCTTGGGGTCTGCAACATGTCTCCAAGTTCCCCCCTTGCTCCATGCCCTCCTCATTGCAAAAATCATCTCTCTCTCCTGCCCCTTAGAAACCCTGCTCCTTCTCTAACTGCCTTTGCCAGCTCTCTCTCTTTGCCCAAATCTTTCCACCCTCACAGCTCAAGCCTTTGTACACAACTCCACTTTTCATCTTGCCCTCTTCAGCCTACCAAAGATGCACCCTCACAACCCTTCCCACCCCCCACTCCCCTCTTTATAGCATTATGCCCTACCATCTGAACACACCTCAAATGACATTCCTAGTCCACTGTCTAGCCACTGCCTCCCCCTTCTCAATTTCCCACATCAATTTCCCACCAGTAGTTTCAGGTGTAGCATGCCATCCATTCTAACCCCAGTCCCCACTCTATTGGCTATACACCTCTATATTATAGTGGTAACTACCCAGACTACACCTATTTTAATTATTCACGTATACATATTAAGCATTAGTATAGCAGTTTTTAGCCTAGATTGGCCTGAATCTTTATTATAATCCTGAACACTTATGCAAAACATCCCATAATATCATGCATTAGTTGAACTAGTTTAAATAGATAGGAAAACTGTCAGTATTAGGACAGAGGATTATTTCCTCATAAATACAGGAAAAAAGTTGCCCACACAAACCTAGGAGGTGCCTTCATCCCTAGTAGCTGGAATGTATGTACTCAAAACAAAGAGAAGTGTGCATCATAACCTGCACTGCATAGGGCACATCATGGTACCAGAACAAACAAGGCAAAAATCTGACTAATTTAATGAGTATAAGGTAAAAGGTATACTGTACTTTTTTCTGGTAAACAAATAGAGTATAAAAGGACAGCTTTACGGCAGTAGCTTGGGAGAGCACACCATCTTCCTAAGGTGAATGTAACATCACTGCACAGGACTGCTCTTGGGGAACTGGTATATAGAACCTTTTTCCTTTCCCATACTAATAAGCCTGACTAACCTTGATTATTTGGTCTCAAGTATATTTCATAACAAAATAACAAACCAAAATGTAGTTAAGCAGTTGACAATACAATTTATCAACAAATTGGTGAGGCGAGCCAGGAGCCATCTAGCCAAAACATCAGTCAAACCAAGCAGTGGAGGGGGAATCATAGTAAGCGGTAGGACACCAGTGTTTGTGAATCTCTGGTACACCTGTGCAACAGCCCAGGCCAAAAGATTATTATAAGTGCTTAGACATTTCTAGTATGCACAGGAGGTGCTACTGGAACTTTTTAAATTGCTACTAGGGCAAAATGCCTTGTTAAAAGTAACGAGTTTTAGAACTAGTGCATAATAAAGCACTCTAGGTGAAACGCCCATACTTTGTAAATGGGCATGGGCATAGACAATATGGCTTTTGCCCAGGAATTCCTAAAGTGTTTCCTTGGTAACAGCCATATAAAGAAATCATAGCTATGCCTAATAAAATGGAAAGACAGTAGGACTGGAATCCTTTGTTGTACAATTTATAAACCATGGCGGTGCATTGTTCGGACTTAATATTGTAAATAAATGCCATCCTTGGGGTCATGTATATAATCTGTTTAAATCTGAAATGGAGGAAACACAAAGTAAAAAGGGTAGAGATAAAGAGCAAAAGGGCATGGCTATACAAGGGCTTTACTTGCTTAGTTTTAAACAGTAAAATAAAACATTTAATGGAAAACAAATACAGAAAATAGGTTTCAGAGTGGTAGCCATGTTAGTCTGTATCAGCAAAAAGAAGGAAGAGTACTTGTGGCACCTTAAAGACTA